GGCAGAGAGGAGGCAGATTTTGCAAGGTAAGTGACTCTGGCGCAGCAGGAAGGGAGGGGGAAGCATGAGGTTTCTTAGTGGGTCGGAGAGGCCTTGGGGCCTGTTCCATCACTAGGCCCCCCCATGGCCTTCCCCACCCTGAGATACCTCGTGCACTTAACGAGCTGCGTGCGTTTTAATAAGCAAGGAAGTGATCTCATTCGATTTATGAGATTCACTCTATTAGTTTTCGATTTACGAGAGGAATGGGCAGGCTCCATTACACTCGTAACTCGAGGACTACCTATATGTATCAAATTTTTATCCAGAGGCAAGATAGTTTCTCTTGCTTCACAATACAAAATATTCCACAAATGCTCTTCAAAATGCATCTTAATATATTAAATCATCCCCTCAATGTTTTTAGTACCATGTTCTAAATATTGTATAACTGAAATAAGAGCTAAGTCTTCCTCTGTTGCTTCCTCCCCCTTCCTATATTTTTCCATGTGTTTTAGAATTTGTTATAGACCACTTACTTTACCTCCACTTTGTAAAATAGATGAAATCCTTGTTGAATATTTGCCATTTGGTTTTGGCTGGTAATATTGAATGTATATTTATTTGTTGTAAAATGTTATGTGACTTTTTAAGGACAGCATTCTAATTTCTTTTTGTTGGTATTTCAAAGGAAGGTGACATTGATCATGGTGGGTCTTGATAATGCTGGGAAAACTGCAACAGTAAAAGGAATCCAAGGAGGTCAGTTGCATATCCTTTTTTAATCTACAATTTTCAAAATATTATTGACAAGGATTAAAACACTTTTTTCATGTTTAAACTAGACTACTTGTAATCAGGATCAGATACTTACTATAATATTTTATTCTGTTAAGTCAAATAATATCTCATTGTTTTGAGAGAAAGAAAGTATATACATGACTACCACCACTACCATCCATACACACCCTAGAATTTAAAGGCAAGGAAGCAGGGAGGGATCTAAGAAGGAGGAAATTATATACCTTCTTAGAGGGATGTTTTGTTAAATTTTTAGGGGGTTCAGGGTTGGCCCGAGGGGAACTTGGGGAGTCCTCTCGGAGGCCAAGGCCGGTCCCATCGAGGGGGCGCGGAGCGGTAAGGGAGGAAACTGGGGGGCTGGCGGAGGGTGGTGTGATAGGTACGGTTAGTGATAGGTACGGTTAGTGGGAGGGGCAGGTATGGCGGGAGCAGAGGACCATATCGGGTTTTGGGAGCACGCACACGCTGCTTACAAGCTTGTGGGTGCTCCGATCCTCAGAGCTCTGCTCGATCCCCAGGGACCTTAGATCCTCCGGCCCGGACCCATCGGCTGATGTTATGCAACGCCAGGTCCGTGGTAAATAAGG